TTGCTCACAAAGAAGTTGCTACAACCTAGATCAGACAACCTAGATCAATAAAAAAATATATGCCAAACTCTCTGACTGATGACTTGGTCCAATTTGCCTAGTGTCAGGCTTTAAGTAGCACGACCCACCCCCGCCCCTGTTTTGGCTTGACACCTCAAATTTACATTGCTGCAAAGAAACACCATCATGAAGCAACTCAGGGTGTTCAGGAACTCCACAATAAGTTACAGATATGTGGTTTAAGACTCATAACAAGAATAATGAAACTATCACAATCAAAGACCAAACTATCACAATCAATGATCATGGGTTTTGTCTGTGTAACTACTTGTAACAATGTAAAGCAGTGTTCTCACGCACAGTGGAGTGCAGCAGGGAAGCAGCACAATAAATTGGCGAATGCTTATAGAATGAAGACGCCCAACCAATGGGCGTTGTCAATATTATGGGGGGTCTGAGTCTGTGGGCGTATACACCCTCATGCGTCTTCATGCGTCTCCATGCGTCTCCATGCGTCTGCACGCGTCTTCGTACCTCTTCATGCGTCTTCATACGTCTTCACGCGTGTTCACCGATAGTTAGAAACCCTCTATCGCCAACTATGCCAAAAAAACCTTGAGATACACATATGTCATGCGAGCGCAAACGACACACGCGCAAGCATCACCCCCAAAAGAACCCGACATACACATGAAGATGCGCGTGAAGATGCGCGAGATGATAAAAGAGATATGCAAAAACACGCAACGAACCCTCGGAGAAAACATGGGACACTGATGAATTCCAGAGTCTACTCTGTTCTATGTAAAGCGACAAAAACAGCTTGCGCGGCAAAAGCGCGTTTGCTCCGCAAAAATGCGCTAGTAACATTGCAAAAGCACACAAAGCACACCAAAATTAAATACACACTTGAAAGATATGGGACTTTCACGCACTACTCTCTCACCCATCTGTCATCTGGATATATGTATGTACATACTGTATATCTTGACGCTGCCAAGAATTGGCCACACAAATGTGACCACGTACACAAGCCAAGGCTCATAGTGTGAAACATTCGCTCGACGCCTGTTCGTGAAAGCGTTTCCAGCAATAATGGTGTGCCTTACTGCCGCCGCTTTCAAAACAAAAAGCTGAGAAAACAATCTGATATCACCATCCATTACAGTTGACTTTTGTCGGCGCTGCTGGGAAAAGTAACTACTCTACTTTGAGGTGTCAAAATCCTGAATTCAATACGTTGGCTTAAGTTTACGGTAAGATTACTTTCCACTCTTTCCACCTGGCCTGGGCAAGTCAAAGATAGTCAAAGCGCCTGATTAAGTTCTTAGGGTCGGGGTGGCATCAACCGCGGCCTCGGCTTGGGAGTTGCATAGGCTCTGGCCTTCTGTTGGGGTGGGCTCTCACCCACCATGCCATAGAGCGTTTTGAACCTGTTGGGAGTTTTCACTGGTTCTTTCTGGACTTAGATAACCGTGCGTGGAGTGGCTGCAGCACTTCTTCATTTCGAAGAGGCTGCCAGGACTGCTCCGCAAACCACTTCTTGGAAAGCCGGGGGGGCGACGGCAGATCAGCAGGACTAGCAACACGATTTGCCCAGGCATGGCTCCCAGACTCCCAACAACAAAACTTCTGGACCAGAGGCAGGCAGCAATGACCGGCCACCGCCTGAACAACAGCCGGCGCCGGCGTCCATTGAGACTGAGGATGGGCCACCAACTCAGCAGGCGGCATCCACAACAGTGGCAGCGGCTACCATTAACCGACAAAAAGGTGAGCTCCAGGGGGGTTTTTGCTTGCTAGCAGCCTGCAATATTGTTTTCTTTTGACATTGGTTGGTCAATTTATTAACAGGCATTGTATCATCTATTTTTGGGGCGCGCTACGCCCTGCTCTTCTTTTGTGCCTGCGGGTAAGCAAGTGGTTTGAGGAAATGTTTGGGGCCTGGTGCTTCCAACGGTGTCCAGCATGGAGCCCTGAAAATTGGTTTGAGGGATCAGGAGAAAGCTGAAATCAAGCAAGGCATGTTTATGGCAAGCAGCCACTGTCCAGCACCCCCGCTGGCAAACACAGACGGCCAGCTACGGTCCAGGACAGCGCTGCCCAAAATGCCACCAACTGGCATCACCGACAGCAAATCAGGGACAACGCATTCTTTTGCAATGCTTGCTGCAAAACAATCAAATCAAAGCATTGGCCGGCGCAATGAAAAGGGCTAGTCCGCATTACACCGCCACTGATCAAAGGAAGTTTAGTGTGCAAAACTTCCGTGTTACGGACATTCAACAGCTGTTCAACCACCACTCATCATACACCACTCATCAAACCACCACTCATCATACACCACTCATCAAACCACCACTCATCATACACCACTCATCATACACCACTCATCAAACCACCACTCATCAAACCACCACTCATCATACACCACTCATCAGATTTCGTGGCAGGTGCAGCAATTTGTGAACCTCCATGCGCAGATTTCGTGGCAGGCGCGATACAAAATGCGTTTTCGATCGTTTTCGAGAGATAGCGGACGCACGAAATGCTGTATTTCTCAATAGAACCGGTGGCTTCGAACCTGGCAAGTCTAGCTCTGCGGAACGACGGTTGCGAGACGGTCTCGGGTCATGGTCGGTCGGCCGTCCATTGTGATTAGGTTTTCACTTGTCTCTTGAAGTGCAGATTTCCTGGCAGGCGCAGCACTTTGTGAACCTCCATGTGCAGATTTCGTGGCAGGCACGGCACTTTGTGAACCTCCATGCGCAGATGTCGTGGCAGGTGCAGCACTTTGTGAACCTCCAGGTGCAGATTTCGTAGCAGGCACAGCACTTTGTGAACCTCCAGGTGCAGATTTCGTGGCAGGCGCAGCACTTTGTGAACCTCCATGTGCAGATTTCGTGGCAGGCACAGCACTTTGTGAACCTCCACGCGCAGATGTCGTGGCAGGTGCAGCACTTTGTGAACCTCCAGGTGCAGATTTCATGTCAGGCACAGCACTTTGTGAACCTCCATGTGCAGATTTCGTGGCAGGCGCAGCACTTTGTGAACCTCCATGTGCAGATTTCGTGGCAGGCACAGCATCTGGGGAGCTGGAAGCTGAGAACTGGCGGCTCTTGTAGTACAACTTTAGCACGCGGAGCAATTGTGAGCTGGAAGCTGAGAACTGGCGACATTGTAGTACAACTTTAGTACGCGGAGTATCTGGCAAGCTGGACGATGAGAACTGGCGAATTTGTAGTACAACTTCAGTACGCGGAGCAATCTGTGCAGCTAGAAGCTGAGAACTGGCGACTTCGTAGTACAACTTTAGTACACGGAGTATCTGGCGAGCTGGACAAGGAGAACTGGAGACTTTGTAGTACAACTTTACTACGCGGAGTATCTGTGGAGCTGGATGGTGAGAACTGGCGACTTTCTAGTACAACTTTAGTACGCGGAGCAATCTGTAGAGCTGGAAGCTGAGAACTGGCGACTTTGTAGTACAACTTTAGTACGCGGAGTATCTGTCGAGCTGGATTGGGAGAACTGGCGACTTTCTAGTACAACTTTAGTACGCGGAGCAATCTGTAGAGCTGAAAGCTGAGAACTGGCAACTTTGTAGTACAACTTCAGTACGCGGAGTATCTGGCGAGCTGGACGATGAGAACTGGCGACTGTGTAGTACAACTGCAGTACGCGGAGGGAGCATCTGGGGAGCTGGAAGATGAGAACTGACTGGCGACTTTCTAGTACAACTTTAGCACGCGGAACAACCTGTGGAGCTGGAAGCTGAGAACTGGCCACTTTGTAGTACATACACTTGTACATGCCCAGTTGGTTCAACACGCCGTTGTGGGCTGCTGATCTTGTCGCGGCAAAGATACAACCCAGTACGCTGTTGTGAGCTGCTGATCCTGCAGGGGGCACACACCTTACACACGTGGAATCCCGTGGGTCAAAAGTCCGGAGCGCGTGCGTTTGACTGGAGGACGCGCATGTTGTAGAGAACGTGGACACTCCTATAGGTCAATTTCTTCTTATATGAAACTTCCGCCGCCGGCTTGCCCGGGAACTACTTGTAAACACTAGGTGTTCGATGCTATCTCCTCCCTGCACAACGTTTTCGAGCATGCAAAGTTAAACTTTGCAAAATGATCCTAGAAGTGAAAGCCAGGCGGTGGAATGAAGCAAACTGCCTGCTGAATTTCAGCCCGGCGCTCGCAAAGAGACAGATGGGCCAGCAATGGTTTTTTGTTTGGAACACACCCTGCAAGCTACCTCGTGGAGACAAGGCCCCATGTGTCCCTAAGACAAATGCAGGGCACGATGGAAGTCACAGTGTGCCACAGTGTCGAGTTGGGTTGAGGACGCAAGAACCACTGCGCAAAAGAACCACCTTTGAGATTCTTGACTCAATCCCAAACCTTCTTCACACAGTGACATCGTTTCGTTTCACAAGACGCAAAGCACAAAGTCATCTGATCAACTGAAGCACGCCGCTCTGACATTCTTTTTCACTTGGGCGGTCACGTGTTGGTCACATTCAAGGCCCCAGGCTGCGGACTAGGCCCGCAAGGCGCGTCGAACGAACTGCTCCGGCAAGAGCTGGAACACTCAACGGGCGAGCGCGCGCAACAGTTGCTGCGAAGTTGAAGGTAAACGATTAATGAAGGCATCAAGATCTGCTTGCAAATGTGACAACAGTTCGGAAACTGTTCAAAGAAGGAACTGCCAATGGAGCAGCAAGATCAGCAGACACCAAGGTCACTGTGGCATCAACGGAAAAACGTCAGCAAGAGGTCGAGATATTCGGGGGGTTTACAGGGCGGGTGACAACATGCATTGCGCTGCCCTCCAACCCTCCTACTATTTGAGAGGAACAACCCGGAAAACATGTATTTCCGCGCACCACGGTTCAAATGGTGGTCACCTGTTTCACTCCGTCTTTCTCATGCTTCTTTAGAAAGAATAGAACCGCTTCACGCGCTTGAGAAAAACAAAAGGGTGATTGAGCAACCGCCCGCGGACAGCATGCTCCTATCAAGATTCTAAACAGAATCCGCCCGCGCCGGAGGTGCCGAGGGCGTTGTGTAGGCTCGTGTAAATCGCAAGGAATCCGGCTAGATAAATCCTAAGCTTTAGCTTGGGGGGGGTTCTCCTAGAAATGCTGTGTTTTTCAATGTTTATTGAAAAGTGACCAAAATTGGACCCGACGTTGGCGATGCCGGTTATGCCGGTCGGGACAGATCGCATTATTGACATCGCAGACGTCTCGGCAAGCCAAGGGGCTCTGCACTATGGATATGCGATGCCGGTTACGCCGGCCGGGGGAGATTGCAATATGGACATCGCAGAAATCGCAAACGTCTGGGCAAACCGCGGGACACTGTACGATTGATATCGTGGATGTGTTCGGTCGTGTGCCCAGTCCGACTGGATGAGGTGAATGGTATTGAGCATGTGGCGTTTGATGTTTTTTGGGGGGAACAATCGCCTGTGCGGAGCTGCGCGCCGCTTTTTCGTCAACACAACGGAGCTGCACGGATGGTCCCGCAGCATCACACCTTATCAGAATGGCGGGGCGTCGGAGATCGTGCGATAAGTGTTGCGATTGTTTTCTATGCTGCGGACGTGGCCCATAAAGAATTTTGTGCCTGGCACGGAGCAAGC